CCCCAGGGCTGGGTCTCCAGAGAGGCAGGGCTGTGATTTAGTACCTGCCTCGCTAGAGGTTCTGGTCTTGCTTCATCTGGGTGAAAGAGGAAACGGAAGACACATTAGCTGACCAGGGAGGGGCTTGGCATTGCCTCACCCCACTTTTGAGAACTGGCTGGGGCCAACAGGACTTTGCGAAGCGGACCGACCCTTGGCTCCGGCTTCTTCTTGCCGTAAAAAGGTCCCAAATACCAAAGCGGATTCAGTGAAAAGTCACTCTGCCCGCCCAGCCCAGAGCCTCAGACTCCTTGTCACGCTGTGTTGGGTCCTTCCAGAAACAGTCTACAGGTGCTCAAGAGCAGAGGTGAAGGGAATAGAGTAGGGGGTAGTTTGACATGGGGGTCGAGTTGAAATAAGCTTCACGTTCTGTCTCTTCTGTGTAATAGACGAGGAGACTCCTCTTTCTTGGGCTTCCTTCTCTTTACCTTGAAGATGGGGAGAACAATCTGACGATTCTCCAGAACTAGAACGTACGTCACAGGATCACTGAGAGAATTAAATGATACACGGAAAGCTCTTACGTGCATGGTATACAGTAGGCGCTCACTGCATGTGGCATGTCTATCGTTCCTTCCCCCTGCAAACAGACGTATGTTCTGCGCGTTGGCCTACAGCTTGCTTTTTTTCCCTAGAGTAACGTATAGTATTAGTAACCGGTATTTATTGAGCGCTTACTGTATGCCAGGCCCTGTGCTATGCACTTTACATTTACCTAGAGGAGGAAGGTACTGTTATCATCCGTGTATATTTCAAGGGGATTCGTCCTTTCTTTTTGTCAGCTGTGTGATAGTCTCCTGGGAGGGTGTCTCCCCTGTCAATAGAGATTTAGGTTGTTTCCCATGTTTTGTCTTTATTTTTTTTTTAATTAAGTTTATTTATTTATTTTGAGAGAGAGAGGGAGAGAGAGAGAGAGAGGCAGGAAAGAGCAGAGAGAAAGGGAGGGAGAGAGAATCCCAAGCAGGCTCCACACTGTCAGCACAGAGCCCGATGTGGGGCTTGAACTCATGAACCGTGAGACAATGACCCGAGTCCAGATCAAGAGTTGGCCGCTTAACTGACTGAGTCACCCAGGCGCCCGTGTCTTTATTTTTTAAATTCAATGTTATTAAAAAAAATTATTTAGGGGCGCCTGGGTGGCTCGGTAGGTTGAGCGTCTGACTTTGGCTCAGGTCATGATCTCACGGTTCGTGGGTTCGAGCCCCGCGGGGGGCTCTGTGCTGACCGCTCGGAGCCTGGAGCCTGCTTCGGCTTCTGGGGTCCCCCTCTCTCTCTGCCCCTCCCCTGCTCACACTCTGTGTCTCTCTGTCTCTCAAAAATGAATACACGTTAATAATTTAAAAAAAAATTTTTTTTCAACGTTTATTTTTATTTTTGGGACAGAGAGAGACAGAGCATGAAC